CCCCTGGAGGCACCCGTGTTCAAATACATGAATAAAAACATCAACTCCCAGAGACAGGGACTTTAACTCAAAAAAAATAAATAAATAAATAAATGATATAATAAGGTTGAGTCAATTTTGTATTTGTAAGCAAGGGAAAAAATTAAAAACTAATAAATACCTTTTCTTTAAAACTAATACTTACCTGGTTATGTTGTGAAGACCAAATAGATGGCCAAATCTCTAATTAAGTATGTATATAATGATAAGTTAATATAAAACAATAGAAAAAAGAATGTATTAATAAGAAAAAATTATTTAATACATATTGTTGATTTGAATAGTTTCGAAGCGACCAAATAATCACATGTAACATGTGATCAATTTGAAAATAGATCAAAGCCATATTTTGGATCAGACTATATTTATTTTATGATGTGAATTATTAGTATAATATTCATTAATTTAAAAGCTAAAGTAGTAATCAATAAAATGATGTAATAAAGTTGAGTCAATTTTGTATTTGTAAGTAAGAGAAAAAATTAAGAACTAATAAATGCTTTTTATTCAAAACTAATACTTACTCGGTTATTTTGCGAAGACTAAATGAATGACCAAATTCCTAATTAAGTATGTAGATAATAATAAGTTAATATTGATACTGTGCGAATAGCACATGAATTTAAATATGCATATATGAGTATTTGCTAATAATAGTTCGATTTTTACAATTTTTTTTTTATTTAAAGTTGTTTATTTTGCATAAGCTACTTTTAACAATTTCTCAAAATTTATCTTCTGTAATTTCAATGACTTTATATGATTCATCTTCAATGGCTTCGCATTATTCATCTGAAGCTAAAAGAAAAACTAAAAATAAACATGTTCAAAACATCCTAGAGGAAGACCACTGGATCCTGTTTGGGAGCATTTTGCTGCAACTCCATTAAAATTACCCAGCTATTTTTCTGCAGTATGTAAATATTGCAATACTTAATTTAGCCGTAGGCATCTAAATGAACTTGAGATGCATCTTGCAAAAGAATATGAAGGTGAAAGCCTTGATGATGAAATAAGAAGCAAATATCTTGAAATTGCAATTCAAAGACAACTATCAAATAAAAAAACTAGTTCAAAAAATTAATCAAAAAAACAAAAAATAAGTATTAATGATTATTGGAAAAACAAAAATTAATTTTTGGCAAGTCCTAAGAAGGAAGCAATTGATCATACAATTATTAAAACCTTTGCTATATGTGAACTTCCATTTTCCATAATTGAGAATCCATAGTTTATCGACATACTTAAATCTTTACGATCTTCGTATGTACTACCTACTCATGAATATCTTTCTAATACATTATTAAATGAAGAAGTAATTAAAATTAATTGGAAGACTGAGAAATACTTAAAAACTGCAGATAACTTGACACTTAGTAATTAGCTTTAATATACTTATACAATACTTTAACTTATATAATTATATAATTGTATTAAATTTATATTATTTTATTTAGGATTAGATGGTTGGATGAATTCTTAGAGTGCTTTAATTTATAATTTTTTAATAATAACCCCTGATCATAAAGAATTTTTATATGCCCTTCATGATTTGTCTCATGTTAGTCATATGGCAGATTTACTCTTTAATAAGATTGAAAAAATTTTAATTAAGATTGGGCCTAAAAAATTTATTGGAGTAAGTTCTGATAATGCCTTGGCTATTGCTGCTACATGTAGACAGATTAATCAAAAATATCCTTCTATTATCAATCTTCATTGTATTGTTCATTTTGTTAATCTTATTAGTCATATTATTTTAAAATATAAATTACTAGCATGTATTTTAAAATATTGCAATAAGATATGCTGCTTTTTTAAAACTAGTCATTTAGCTGGAAGTTATCTAAAACAATATATAGATGAATTGAATATTAGTGGAGGTAGATTGAAGCTTTTTATAAAACTAGATGGACATCTGCATATGAAACAGTTAATTCTGTATTTAGACTTAAACTTGTATTAGAAAAGATGATTTTTAATTTATTAATTAGTATAATTAATTTTACAAATGTTGCAAAGTGTAAATTTTTTTTGTTTTGCGATATACATTTTTATATAATATACTATAGTGCTAACACTAATATTTTGAATAATTTTAAGGTTTTAAATGATCATTCTGATGCTATTACCAACCAAAATGTATGAATAATTTTAAAGTCTCGAGGATTCTTTCATTATATGGAACAAATATCCAAAATTTTTGCTTTAATTAGAGCTACAATTTTGTGATTAGAAAGAGCAGATTGTACAATAGCAGATTGTTTTATTCAATTAGTTCATTTAATTGCAACTATTTCTCATATGCATTTCAAAATCAATGCATAGAAATTGTTAACAATCGTTGGAATGAACTTGAAACAGAACCATATATTTTAGCATATATGCTGCATCCTGAATATCGAGGTATATATATATATTATTCTTTAACATTTTTAGTATATTTATATTTGTATGTTTAATAATTGAATTTTTTTTTTATAGGCACTGATTTAAAAAAGGGAATATACACACAAATTACCCTTTATGCTGCACAATTATGGCAATTGATAGGATACAAAGATAAATTATCTGCACAAACTCTTATTGCTCAAATTATCAAATTTAAGAAAAAAAAATTTCTATAAAATGTTAGATATGATAGCCAAGTGATGACACCTTTTATATGATAGAGCTTTATTGAAGATAAGTTCGATAATCTTAAAATTTTGGCCAAAAAAATTTTTGCAATAACTATATATAGTGTGTTATATGAACGTATTTTTTCTATTTTGGGTTGGTTCTATGGTAAAAAAAGACAATGATTGGGGTTAAAAAATTTAGAATTACTTACTAAAATCTGATATTATAATTTACTTAATACACATAAAGAGCTATCATATAATGTGAAAAACAAAACTGAAGATGAATTAGTAGCATTGATTCAAAGGTCTTATTTGTTTGATGCTGAGGATGAAAATAATATAAGCGAAGACTATGAAGATGAAAATAATGGAGAATCAGATGATGATTTAAAGATTTCTAATCATCAAATAGTAGTTCTTGTTATTAATAACATTGTAGATTTGCATCATCAAGCATTTAATCAAGTAGAGGATTTGTATGTCTCTAATGAAGACAATGTCAATTCTGATGTCGCTATGAATAAAGATCATAAATTTAATTTAGAAGAATTAGTTCAAGATCTTGAATAATATATATATAAAGTCATGACATATATTATATATATATATATATTAAATATGCAATTTAAAAATAAATAAATTATATATTATCCCTTTATAAAATCACAATTAAATAAATAAGGTAAAGAATATGTTTACAAACCACTATATAGAAGCATATAAGTAATCGCATATATGCACTGTATATATCATATATATATTGACATAAGATTACCCACTTATTACCAAAGTAAACTAAACTATTTCTAATGAACTAAGTAACCAGTATGGCTGTTGTTAGCATAAAAGGCCAAACTATACTAAATTACTAAAGCTAATTGTCATAGTGCTACATGATACCATGTAATCGGATCAGGATTTGCATGAATAGCATGATCATGATTTAATTAAAAGTCTAAAAGAGTGATTGCATTAATAATGTAGTAATCATTAGCAATTAGTATTGCATGAACAATGTAGTAATTATTAGCGATAGTAATAATATAAGGCATCCAAATAGGGGAAGTGCCTAACTTTAGTTTCCGATATCTCTAACTTTTATTCTTAATGAATAGTATAATAGCCAAGCGAGTTAAATACTGATAGTAGAAGTCAACAAATATAGTATTTTGAATGACTCTGTAACACTAATTCGTCTACTTTAATAATTAATAATTTATTATCAACCTGGTTCTTAGCAAATACACATACATACCTTACCATTTTGTCAATTACTTTGCTGACAACTTCCTCTAACTTAGTTAATAATTATTAAGATAAGCTATTTATTCTAATTTATCACTTGGAAACTTAAATAAGTTATTAATTTCCTTTTATCATATTAATTAGTATTATATTTTAGAGTAATTTAGGAGTATAAACCACTTCATGCCAGTATCAAATTATTAGCTCATTTTGCTTGTTTCAAAAACAATCTAAAGCTATAATTACTTCATTAGTGGAATAAAATTTTATAAGTTGTTATAATCCATAAACACCTTATTCACAAATAATTAGATCACAAAAAAGTCTATTTTATAAATAATTAATTCAGATAGGTTTAATTTTATAAAATAAACTTATCTGTAAACTAACTGTCAAAATAAGGTACTGTCAGCAGGATCTAAACTAATACATATAATAATTGCTGGCTATTTAAAATATTATAATAATTTAATTTGCTATAATTATATGTAATTAAATGCAAAATAAAATACTGAGCTAATTTTTCCTTATCAACTTTGGCTTTGGTGTAGTCTTCTTGGCTACGTCAATAATTAGCTGTGGTTGAATTGGTTTCAGGTAAGAAGTAAATTTATATTTTGTTTGGGTTTCAAAAAAAGCATAATAAGTTCCTAAATCAGGATTAATAGCTAAATATTTAATTTCTGAGATCTTAAACAATAAGAATTAATACAATAAATAGCTGGTAAAATAGGAATGTAATTTAAGCTCTGTTAGTCAGGGACACAGAAAAATGCAATTTTATTTAAAGTATTTGAAATTTCTATAAATAAAATTGCACTTTTTCTGTGTTCTTGCTGTTAATGAATCATATAAATCCATTAAATATTTATCTCTATTTACGCAAATATGTAATATATTTTATAAATGTTTAAGTATATTGTTGCCATCATGCTATTTGTTGTAAGCAAAATGATGATTATAAAGAGAATAATTATGTAGTACTTACGCTTTATAAGAATTAGTTAAATAACTTTAGTGTCCAATAATATGTATACATAGTATATGCACAGCTCTATAAATATAAGCATTTTAGATATCAACATATTCAATTGAACGAATTCAAAAATATATTTAATTTATGATATAGATATTATAAAATATTATCCCTTAAACTGTATTTCAGGCAAATTTGCCTGGAAAATTAAATTGTATTTAGTATTTTTTAAATAAAACAATAATTTATTAATGATA